AAGAGTTTGGAATGGACCAACATGAATCAACATACGCAATCGGAAGTAAAAAGATAAAAAGAGATCAATCTTTTTCGCGTTTATTTCCCCTTCATTTCGTTCTAATTAAAGTCTTATCTAACCCTCGAAGTGTCATTATGTGAACAAAATATTAAGCATAAGTTACTAACAGGGTTAATTTGCGAGTTTAACTCGTTGGGAGTGTCAAGCATATTGTGGGGTAATGACATTCAAGGAATAAGTCACATGTTCGAATTTCATCCCAATTCAAAAGTGTTGATCTTAACATGAAACAAATACTATAATACTATATTGTATATTATGATACAATATACAACCAAAGTTAATGGATTGTTGAATCATCAAGGTTATTTACTAAACTCATATTGGACACTAAACTTTTAAATGGACCAAATTAACACAAACTTTGTGTTTTTCCATCACAATTGGACACGGATTTCGTCAACCTTGAATAACGGCTCCCCCTCCGTCAATTATCATGTTACCAACTACAATCTCTTCTCTGGCGCAATACAACTTTCTTCCCACCGCCATAGCCGCCAGCTCTTTTGAAAACCCAAACCCAGCAAATATACATCCTTCTCCCCAGGCCAAAACCTTGTTTTTACTATGGCCACCTATAAGCACTATTCTAAAAATCGCTCTAGGCGCTAGGCATCGCCGGGCGCCCCGATTTTAGTCTAGGCTCTTCGACTAATTGATTTGGTGCCTAGGTGAATTCGTCGGCCGCGTAGGGCGTCTATTTGCCCGCCCAAAGTGCTTTATCGGCTGCCTAGGTGTCTAAATTCATCGAACATTTTTTTGCTTTTTTATTTTTATTTTAGTGTCCTAGGAGCTATATGCACTTTAACTTTAATAATACATATGAATAAATCTACTAGTGAGTGAGTTGGTATAATATATTATTAAATGTGACAACTCTATTATTCATGCATGTTGATGTGTATGTGTGTGTATATGTTTTTTCTATACACGCAAACACAAGTACACAACATTACTAATCATATTTATGCAAAAATATTGATAAAAATACATTTTTTTTGTCTCCGACTAGTCCCCGCCTAGGCGTCCGCCTAGCCGTCTAGGCACTCGGCTGGCGCACCTTTTAGAACATTGCCTGTAAGACTCACCACTTGTACGGACAAATGAATATAGCAATGCAAACGATGTGGGAGGACTCCGATGTCCCATTCCTTCTAATTTTAATTAATTCAAACTAATGGTCTAAGCATCTAGCCATGGTTTTTCATTAGTTTGGAGGAAAACCACGATATTGTTGGACTGAATTTGGCTTAGAAAAAGAACAAACATGAGAAATATGGTACCCAAGCTATATGACAATTCGTAATAGTACCGCAAATTTGGTTTTTTATAACAAAAGAAAAGGAGTTATGACATCCCTCAGTGGAGTAAAGCCCTAATAATTAATTTGGATAGCAAATCATCGCTTCTTTCAATTACTAGATATCGATGCAGTTTCACTACTGGGATCCGCAAGAAAAGATTTTTAGGAGCAGTGTGGGTGGATCAGGGTGAGTGGACCACTTGTAGGACTCGACAGGGACAGAGTTGAGATGCAACTTGAAGAAGATGGATTGGAGACAGGTCAAATGAATAGAAGAGAGGGGTTCCTTGGCGGCGGAGAAGTGAAATATTGAACAAAGGGTAAGAGACTGAGATTGGGGATGGAGTTGCCCAGCCGATGAGGAAATTGAAGGTGGAGGCATGGGCTTTTAACGCTGGATTTAACGGAAGTGTAAGTGGATGGCCAAATATAATCCAAATAAGTTAATTACGTGTTAATTTGGTCTACTTAAAAGCTTAATGTCTAATATGAACTTCTTGAATAACCTCAGTGTCCTTTTTGAGCCTTCTCCCAATCATCATTCCTCCAAAAGGCCGAATCCCCAACCTCAAGGCCCCCTCATGTCTCGATTTGACAGCACATATGAAAGGTTGTAAATCACGGTGACTCAGTCAGTCTGACGATGGTAATCCCACTCAACCATTTTAAAACCCCTTCCTAAAAAACTATCAAGTTAAAGTTCATTTATAAAAGGTGAGAGTTGGCTGTTTAGCTTGAGTAAATAGTACTCCGTACAACGTATATTAAAGAAAAGGGAAAACCCACTTTATTGATTATAATTTTGATTTCATAGTCATTCCTCTCTAACTTTCCAACCACTCAACCAACTCTGCTACCATATTGTTCAAACTTCATGAAACTATTGAAAGTTGAAAGCATACGGTGTGGTCTTTGATAATTTAAAATACTCCTTCCGTTCCAAAATTATCTTCATGCTTTCCTTTTCGGTCCGTCCCAAATTTATCTCCTCTTTCCATTTTTGGCAAATAATTTGTGATTCACAATCATTCTTACACATTCTTACACATTTCTCTCTCTTCTGCACAACCCTCCACCACACATTTCTCGGTCGGATAAGGAGATAAATATGGGTCGGAGTACAAAACATAATACCTAAAACTCTAAAAATTACTAATGTGAGGATAAAAGGAAAAGTTCTATTCATTTAAAACTTAGGAAAAATAGACAAGAATAATCCCAACTATTAGTGATCTGCTTTAAATAATTCAAAATATCAATTATTTCAAAATAATCCATACTATTCAATAAAATTCTCAAAATGCTCCAATGACTTATACTAGCAATGAATATTATAAGTCATTTATGGGTTTATAAGTCACTGGAGCATTTTGAAAATTTTATTCAATAGTTTGGATTACTTTGAACTAATTGATACTTTAGATTATTTAAAGCAAATCACTAATAGTTGAGACTATTCGTATCCATTTTTCAGTATATTATTCATGCCATCACTAGTTTAATTTTTATTGTTTCTTTTCTTTTTATCATTTTTACATTTTTCTTATTTTGTTTTTTGTTGTCTTTTTATATTTATATCTTTGTAGTTTCAATTTCACATATTGACTCATGCTAACCAATATTTATGTGGTCAATACTTTTTTTTTGTTCTCTATCTTTTTGTATCAATTTTTGTCACATTTGCATTCTACTTGTGTTTTTTATATAGAATTTCAAGTGTAGTAATTTAATAAGGAGTAATTAATTTTGAACATGAATACTTATGTAAATATTGTCACTTTGAAAGAATTGACTTTGCCATTAACCTAACTTCTTAAATTCAACTCATAGTTTTTAATTGGATTGCAATTTTCTGATCTGGCCTGATCTAGTCTATTTAAATCTCTTTTAGTTTGGCTTGGACTGATCTAAACTAGTCTAGTCTTGTAAATGTTTGTTTTATGTGAATTGTACAACTACCAAAACCTAATTTGATCTAGGCTATGTTTGGCTGGAGAAGCTGAAAAGACCTTTTTAGTAACTGTTAGCTTTTTTAAGCTGAAAAGCTTGCAGATGGAAAAGATCATAGTTGTTTCATAAAAGCTGACTGTTTTCAATAGTCATGTTTGGCAAAACTAGCTGTTTTAAGTAGCTGAAATAATAAAATTACAATTAAGGGCATGAACAAATATAATTGATTTATAACAAAATAGAATACATGCATGCACATAGCTAATACGAAAGAGTATGATTTTTTAACCACAATTAAAATATTGTGATTTTTAGGTTCCTCACAATTTATAATTTTAACGCTAATCAAAATAAAAGTAGCAAATGTTAGGGGATAACAACAATGAAAACCCAGTAAACACATGGCACACTAAAAAATTACAGCAAAAATTGAACAAAAAACAGAATATGAATACACAAAAAACAGGAAACAAAACAGGGAAATAAATATAGAAAACCAGTAATAAAGCAAATTGATATCAAAGGAGTAAGATATACACTTTTTGGTGCCTTAATTGCTTCAGCGCATAGCAGTTATGGAATGGATCTCCCTTGGTATATTTGACCCTAATAGGATAATCCATATCCATTCCCCAGGTAATATATTATGCAGCACACCCAAAGCAAGAAGATGTGCATTTCAAAAAAGGGAAACTGCATTCAATTCACCCAAATGGGTTCTCAGCAGGAGAGATTGTATTCTGAGCAGGAGGTGCTGCTGCATGTAGGAACAAGTGAACAACTCAGGGAAAGCAACAACTATTACCCTAAAAAATTAGCATTATGATGAACGAACCGAGCATGGACATTCAACAAATACACAACCCAAAAAGATGCCAAGGCATTTGTTGAGAATAACCAATATCAAGAATAAAATCAAGAAATTTATTCTAATTCCTAAAACAGAGATTAAAAATAATAAGTAAACATACAACAGAAATTCGGAGTGCCATTTTTACCAAATTGACGCAAAAGGGTAAAATTTATCCAGCTTGAATATCACACAATTTTGGCTACGAATTGTTAAGCAAAAATAAAAAAAATCAACCAACCCATCCACTAAAACGGAGATGAATGAAAATGTTTAACAAAAAGAATCAAATTGAGGAAGAAGATGGAACGTACCTGCAGATTTCCAGACGGGGATACTAACGAGTGAAAGCAAATTTGAAATTGGAGAAGACCGATTGGATGGAGGGCAGGGTTATACGAGGAATGTATGTAAAATAGGAAAAGATCTTTTTGAGGAACGCTGCCTTCCGTAGCGTCCGGTAAAAGATGATAAAAGACCTGGTCTTCTCAAAAAACTTAACGGGCCAAACACACAACTAGAGTCTTTTAATGAATTTTTAAATAATAGATAAGTTAGAAGTCACCAGCTTTTCCATGCCAAACATAGCCCTAATCTAGCCTGTTTCAACTTGGTCTAGTCTGGTTTAACACTTTAACATTAAACCCAATTCAATTAAAAACATCCACAATTTACAATGACAAAGGAGAGAACATATTGTATACCAGATATTATTATCAACTTATTCAATTAGCATAGCCATACATATATCAGGGTTTGTCATAATGGAAAAAAGACAAAAACGGTCTATAATTAGCATGTAGACATCGTAATTAGAATGAATTGATCCTTAAAAGACAACAAGGCACTATCATCACAACAAGAAATCATGTTGTTCAACTACAGCTAAGACTTTAACCCTTCAACATTCAGAAACAGATGAAGTGTATGACTATGTACACACACTAGTAATGCAGTATTAGTTTGTTTGTGTTAGGCTATATATACTGATATACATTATCTAGGGGTAATGGTCGGGACAACACCACTGACGAGGTCACTACCAGAAACATCAGCTGAAACATAAGGGTTTTTCATAGCCCTCGACGGTGCAGATGAAGAGCTGACATCGTTGCCATGATTAGTGACCAGTGATTCTCCAATTGTAATGTCGGACTCTGGCATCATGATCCATATGCTTTCCAATTCTCGGACCACTTCTGCCATTGAAGGCCTTGCATCTGTGTCTTCTTGGCAACATTTGAGCGCCAGAGTTAAGAACTTCTCCACACATTCTGAAGGATATGAGCCCATTCGCTCATCAATCACAGACAATACATTTCCCGAAGAATATGCGACGTTGACCTGAAATGGTATTCGCAATGGAAACCATAAATAAGCCTTTATGTGAACTCGTGGCTTATTCAAGAAAAGTACAACAAACCAAAGGCAAAGAGCTTAGCATACCTCTCTAACAATGTTTTTTCCATGAGAAATAGGATGCATTCCAGTCAATACCTCAAGAAATACTACACCAAGGCTATAAACATCACTCTTATCCGTCAATTTATTTGTTAGGAAATATTCAGGATCAAGATATCCCTGCAAAGAATAGCAACTTTGATTGTGATAATTTTTTGCTAAAATTTACCTTAATAAATTGACTTTTTAGGATTCTAACTCAGTCTTAATAAACCTAACATTGATTCACTTGTGTTAACCGCAGACCAAATAAAAAGAATCGCTGGGAAGTTTGAAAAAAAAAATATAGAAATGGAAGATTTGCTGGGAATTGATTCACTTGTGTAAACATTTTTTGCCTCACCACTATAAGGTCTTTCAAATTTGGTGTTCAAACTTCATATTTTTCACTTTTCATCATGTGGTCAACAATTTCTTTGTATTAGAAGATTTGAGGGTTCATATCTAAACATGATTTCATTGTCCTTTCCCACTTTTGCCACCCAAAAGTGAAAAAATACATATTCTTGCACCAGATATGCAAAATATAACAATGGGAGACCATAAGTGGGACTGGGATCTCTTAAAAATCGTAGGATCAAAAGTTGAAAATTTTCAAACAAAATATGTTAAACAGAACATAGCAGGTTTGCTAAAGTAGTCTTATTTGGAAGAAATTAATGCTTACCGGAGTTCCCTTAACCACAGTTGATACATGAGTAGGTATGTCCCCTTGAAGGTTAGGGACAGGAGCAAGACGTGAAAGTCCAAAGTCGGCAACCTTGGCCACAAATTTTGCATCCAACAATATATTACTAGCCTTGATATCTCTATGGAATATAGGGGGGTCGGCTTCTGTGTGCAAATATAGTATGCCCTTTGCAGAACTCAGTGCAATTCTCAATCTCATGCCAAAGGTTAGAGGTTCTTTACATTTAGCTGTAAGATCACAAACACACTGACAAGTTCACATTAACGGTGCAAGATTATAAAATACAAAAAAGAATAAACTATATGAACGATAGCTTACACGATAGATGATCCCTCAAAGTGCCATTCGGCATGAATTCGTATACCAACATCTGCATGTGATAGAAAAAGATGGTGTAAGAAATGATAACATATACTGTATTTGAAATGGTCTGCTTCTCCAATTGGGGGAGATTGTTAAGAATTTCAAAAAGATTAATGAGAGTTAAAATATTAAGGCCTTGGATTAAACTAGCTAATGGATTAGAATTAAATCTATTAGTGTGGTTTGAGTGTTTGACCCATGTGCATTATGACCCAGTTGTGCCCGTCCAAATTTGAATTTTGGAATTCCAAAAACACTTGTGAGTGTATTGAAGAAGTTAAAAGCATTTTGGTAATAAAAAGGATCAAATTCAAAAGTTCTTCCATATGTGTTCGACCCATCCCAAAAAGTGGTTTCACCTACATTAAAAGATCAAGGAGAAATAGATGAGTTTATAAGGCTTGAGATGGACTATCAATCTATCATATCGATTAGATTCAATCTTTTAAGGTGTGAGTTGAGTAACCTCTGTCTAATTATGAACTAAGAGGTAACAGGAGTACCGATAACTCAAAAAGGTCCTCTGTAAGTAAAAGTTATCAAGTACCAGTGTACCACCCACCTGTTCACCTTCTTCTCCACAGTATCCAAGTAGAGACACAAGGTTTCTGTGATGCAGCCTAGATAATAGTTCAATTTCGGTAAGAAACTCCTTTTTACCCTGCAATGACCCCTCTTGAGCACGTTTGACAGCCACAACCGTCCCATCAGCTAAGATACCTCTGTAAACTTTTCCATACCCTCCCTGCCCAACAAGGTTTGAGCAGTTGAAATTTTTTGTTGCTGATGTCAATTCTTCAAACTTGAACTCTTTTACACCGTCAATTTTAATAGAGATCTTTGACACTGCCACAACAATAACAACAAGCTAATGAGTTGAATGCAGTTTAGTAACACACACATCATCTATCTACTGGATATGAATATCATTTATCCATTCTTTATTAATTGCAACAGTTTGACTTTGAACAATTCATTATATGTTACTTTGACAGAAACTTTTAAATAATTACAAAAACAAATCATATCAGATAAATTGTTGCTATATTTATATCAATGTAATTTCAAAATACCCTTTTAAAGATATTTAGCAACTAATAAGCAAATATATAAATTGAAGGAGTGAGTGTAGGTAAATGTTAAAGTCAAACTATTGCAATTAAAATAGAACAAAGAAAGTAGTCATAAGTGTGAGGAAAATATATATCTTGAAGATTCTGTTGGGATGAGTCAGATCCAACTTATTATGGTATTAAACAAATTGGTGGCAGTATCCTATGTGTGTTTGATCCCACGAAAATTTGTGGGAGCCTGTTTAGGGTAGGTTTAGGACTTTCCACCCTTCTACTGTAAGAAATATCTAACATGGCACAAAAACAGGCACCCGGTGCACGAAGAGATCCCTGCAAGGCTAGTGTCCGGGGAAGGGTCTCACCAAAAGGGTGTATAAGGGGACAAGCCTTCCCCTGTCAAATTTCGACAAGAGGCTGCTCCCAATATTTGAACCAGTGACCTCTCGATCACACAACAACACCTTAACTGGTGCGCCATGGCTCCCCTCTAGTACACAAACATGAGATAAACATCATTTTCTAATGATATTTTTGGGTGAGTTAAATACAGTTTAAAAATGCTTCAAAATAATAATAATAAATGGACAAAAATATAGCTGCAATTAATAATATATATGATATACCCACTTTGTCCTTTCTTTGAAACTAAACGGTATCGCCGCATGTGAAATCTCAAAACGAGGAGTGACACAAAGGCAGAGACGGTAAGAGCACCGCCAATGGACCCTATTATGATGCCAGCAAGAGCTCCCTTACTTAAACCATGGGATGGATTTGGAAGAGGGATATCTGCAAGAGAGGAACATTTTTACACGTGATCATTACAATGTTTCAAGCAAATGGCTTAGTACAATTTTCACACAAATAGTTCGCAAGGTTGAACACAAGAAGTTTGTAAGGTCCATAAAGATCATTATTAGGTGAAAAGTGAAACTGTTCGTAGTTCTCACGGGAAGCTTGGTTATATTTGATTCAGAATCTATTATATATGTGTGTGTGTGTTTGTGTGTGTGTATGTATGTGGGTGTGTATAAAGCCAACAACATATACATAGATATAGACAAAAACATGGAAAATAAGGAGGAATCAAAATTCACTCTCAGGGAAGAAAGAAAATCCCAACATAATGATATGGCGCCACACCTTAACACAAACTTGTTTAATATATTATGACCTGAACTCTCACCCTAAATCTTAATCTCATAAGAGGAGTAACCCTTGACCTTAAATTTTTTATTTGTATTTTTGTACGTATGTTTGATGTAGATTGCTTAACAAGCAAGACATAAAATTCATCGTGGCTTGAGTGAATGGATATTCTTCATAAAAGAAAGGCAGCAAAGTCGTAAAGATGGCGATAAGGTGGCATACAATTTGAATAGCTTCCTAGTAGGTTGAACCCAAGAAGTTCGTAAGGTCCATAAAGATCATTATCAGGTAACAGCCATCCAGTAAAAAAGCTCATAATCCGTAAAACTTCACTCTTATTGAATTCACTGGAGCTGCTATTGTCTACAAAGATTGGGTAAAACTGGAAATCCATCTTTAACCGAGGGCCCAATTCCCATGAAAGTCCGGTAATGTGTACTTGTGAAATATTCAGATTAAGACCAGTGCTCATGTACCACTCAAAGTCATCCTTGTATGGATTGAAATTGTGGATTCCCGGACTCTTTAACCTATACTTAACAATTAGAGGTAAGACACAAAAGCAAGTAGGAAGGGGCATGGCATATACATATGGCGGGGGGCACGCCAGTGGGGGACAGTCAGTGGAGTTATGTGAGTCTGTGGTGTTGACGGATCCATCACCAGAAGAATCGCAAAAAACTCCAGCTAGATTGGCATTTGAACAAACAGGGTTTCCATTGAGCCTGCAGAGTTAAACCAAAAAGGAACAACAAAATTTAAACTAATATGACACTGTAATGTAGTTAACTAATTCACTTGCAAGGAAATTGTTGAAAAATAAGTTTTTATATAATACGAATTGAAACCAATGAACTATCTTAAGCTTTTGGATCAGTTGGTTCTTAAGCAAAATAATGTGTAAAAGCTGAAGAGTGTATAGTCGATCCAAACCTAACAGTGACATTTTGTGGAATAGCCAAACTTCCTGATATATTGGAAAACACATTGTTCTGAAAGTCCCTGCAATGTTTGAGAATTGTTGAGAATCCGACATTGATAGATTCAAGAAAGATAGATTGGGTTATAAGATATGCTACAAGAACCCGGCCGAAACAGACCCACAAGTGACAGGTTCACAGGTATGGGGCCAACTTGGTCAATGCCAGGTTAGCCCAGTCAATGCTAATAAAAAATAAAAATAATATACATATAGTTGTACAAGAAGTTTAAGAAGAATGTAAAAATTCTTCATAATAATCAAATACTGATAACACTTGATAAGCATTGAAAACACACTTAATACTTTTTTTTTGGACCAACACTATTAGCTGCAAAATTGGTTTATACATCCTTCATAGAATTTTGACACGATCGTCTTTTTAGATTGAAAATAGTGAGCACATCACATTATTTGGCTTATCTGTTATGAAGTTGGAATTGCAATTTTATTAGACCAAAGACTCTTAAACAAACAAATTCATTCAAAACTGGGTTTCAAACAAAAAAATTCATTCAAAACCGGGTTTCATTGGCTTGATTGATATTTACAGGTCCAGATCCAGGTCAAGTTTACCCGAGTAGTCCAGGTTTTCCTAGGTTCTGACTAACTCCGGTTTTTTAATGACCAGGCTGAGGTGGTTATCAAGGCCTTGGGTTAGTGACTTAGTGTTGCTAATCGATTGGATTGTTTTTTTTTGTGATTTGGCCCACATGTACTATGGCACAGTTGAGTCATCTAGGCGGACTGGATGAATAATGAATTCTATCAAGAGTTGTATGAATTAACTGATCTAATTGTAGAGTTACAGAACCACAAATTCATCTACTAGACTAGTAGTCTTGGATCACCAGAAAAAAGGATGTGAGAAACAAGAGATGTATGAGTTTAAGGTCTTACAGGAAGAGCTTCTCAGTTCCATTGAGAATCCTATTTTGCCAAATAATGGATGACACATTACCACTTAAGGAATTGTTAGCAACAGATCTGCAAATCAAAAAAGGGATAAAAAGTTAGATAAGTTCATTAATTGGAAGAATGAACAACTGTATCAGGACACCTAAAAAGATATGATGTGAAATGCTTACAGTATTTGCAGATGAGGAAGCTCAGAAAAGTTTGTAGGAACGCTTCCATTGAGATTGTTGTTTGATAAATCACTAAAAAATTGATAAAAGTAGGTCATCCAAAAAAATTAACCTCACAAATTCCACAAGCCAACAGGATTATTATCAAGACCGAAATCAAAGGATTTGTAAACAGAAGCCACTTACATGGTTGTGATATTTTCAGAGAGCCTATTTGGTGGTATGGGCCCTGTAAGTTGATTAAAGCTTAAATCTCTGAAATGTGAAAATTAAGGAACAGTTTTAGAGTAGGCTTGGATCAAAATAGTTCAATAAGAAGAGCAGTGCTAAATGACCAGAACAAATCAATGTTTTGTGTGTGCTAGAAATGGCATTACGGTAGTTTTAAGATTACACCACTTAAGATTACACTAAGCCCTTTCAGGCCAAAACAAATATGGCAAGATTCTAGCTTGGGTAGATTTGTTTTAACAAGAAACATACAAAATATATGAGAATAGCCGACTTATATTCACCAAAAACCAAAAGCTTGGTATGTGTACTGTGTAGAAACACCTAAAATGACAGTAGAAAGAACAGGATGTACATGTAAGTGAGGTTAGCAATGTTGCTTAGATCTGGTACTTGTCCTAGCAGGCTGCAATTCCTCAGACTCCTGTAAATAATGGACAAATGAACTTCCTTAAGATTTCATAGTCCTTAGGCTGCAACCTAAGTGTTTGGTCTGTTTGTCAAATCATATAGTGGATTGAAATTAGTGTCAATATATATGAGTTATATATAGATTGGCTGCCATATAATAGATAATTGTACAAGGCACCATCACACATTAGATCCAATTGATACATTTGTTGTGAAAAGACAACTGCATCATATCATAGAATTTTATACATGCAACAGAGCCCTCCTAAGACATACATATTCTTTATACAGATTACATTCTTTCTTTTCTTTTCCCGAGGGGGGGGGGGGCTCATTTACTTACATTTTCAGCAAGCGGGACATGTTTCCATATGACTTTGGTATCCGACTTCCTTCAAAGTGGTTGTTGTCAAGTTGACTGCAAACAGATAGAGTGAGATGAAAGGCATTATTTCAGAATTCTTAAAATATCTAGACTTTAAAAAAAGGTGAGTTTGGGGTCATATTTGAAAGACTTAAAATAGTAGTGTTATGGGGTGATATAGTCCACAAGACACCAAAGAGAAAAGTTTAAAGAAATATGAATTAATCTGGTACATGGAGTCTTTTTTTCATGTAATCAATATCTCTCTTCCATCTCGTTGTATAAATCTGACTCTCTTTTTTTGTCTCACAAGTCACAACTACACCTATTTTTCATGTTTTAAACACCAATAAATTTTTCCTTTCAGACTTACATTTTTCATAATATGATATGAGAATCCATCTGTATACATGTTAATGATTTGTAAGCGTACATAAAAAATGAATACAATAATATTGGGTGATAAATTTGATCACATATAATTTGTTTACATAGTAAAGGTTTGATCCAAGTTTCATCCACTCTCACACCCGTCAATCATGAACTTCCAAATATGCATGACATTTCACTGGTACAACATTTTTATATTTTAGAAAGAATCATAGCTTACAGAATGCGCAAATTTGGCATTTCAGCCAGCTCAGGAGGCAGGTATCCTGATAAGTTGTTATTGTCAAGCAATCTGCAAGTTCAAAGTCAATAGCATCTAGAAAGAATTAAATAACCAAAATGGTAATAAATATAGTCGGGTACAACCCAAGATGTGTCTAGGATCAGCATAGCATCCACCAGAATTATTAAAGAGCTTGAAAGAAAAATTGCAGGCATAATAAATCTAAATAATAAAAACATACTCCATATATTACTAACAAGAAGCAAACTTACAAGTGGACAATATTTGGAAGTCTAGAAAGTTGAGGCGGGATTTGCCCACTTAGTGAATTGTTATTCATGTGGCTGTCCAAAAAAGGTAACAAATTACTAAAACAACATAAGCAAATAATAATAAGTGTAACAATAAAATGTTCAGCGATCCATAAGTTTCTTTACAAGTGTTTTGTTTTGTTCAAATTTGCAAATGAAACAGGTATGGGCCCAGATATTAGATTCTCGTCAATTTGTATCCTGTCCAAGTTAGGAAGATAACCGAGCTCTTCAGGCAAGGAACCTGTCAGTTTATTTCCATTCAGAAGCCTGGGGAACACATAAAAGGGTGATGCAGAAAATCAGAGGCAATTCAAAATTTATATTATTTTGATTTTCAAGAAACAAACTAGACAATTGCTAACTTACAACAATTTTAATGATGAAATATTCCCAATCTCCTTTGGTATACTTCCTCCAATACTATTCCACATAAAGTCTCTTTGCAGAACAAAAAAATATATGTTAATATAAGAATGATGCTGAGCATAAGAAGCATATCACCTAAGCTATGCTTGGATCTTGGAAAATGCTAGGAAAAAGTGGGAAAATGCTAAAGTTATTTTCTTATATTTTTTTTCAAATGAAAATGAAATATTATTAGTTTTGCTAATATTCTTACATACACTTACATTTCTTAGTCTTTACAGATTAGAAATAAATTGAATAGAAAAATTCAACGAATTTTAGTTTATCTTTTATTTTCCCCAAGATCTTCTTTCTTTCATATTCTCCCTTAAGTTTCCTTTCATAATTCTTTCTCTGGTAATTTCCAGGTTCCAAGCAGACCCTTACTGAAAAAGAGGGTCCAATAAAATAAAAACTTACAATATGTTCATATAAGATAAGCGACCAAGATCCGGTGATAAGCTCCCTGATAGACTCATATTAAGCAGTTGTCTGTTGCAATACAGAAGAATACCCATGATGCTAATGCAGAGTTTACAAGTCATGTTATAATGGATGAAAATAATGAGTTTCTTCATTTAATGAACACATATAACTAGAAAAAGAATATTTATGTTCATGGGAAAGTGAAGTCATACAGTTCGCGGACATGAAAGTATCCATCATTCATTGTGTCATTATAGCATAACACGCCTGTCCAATTAGAAGCACAAGGATCTCCCTTCCTCCAGTTAGTGAGATTCCTATTTGGATCAACCAAACTACCCCTTATGGCACGCAATGCTTTTACTGCATACAATGAAAATTTGAAAGTCACCATATTTTCTAGTATCAATACTTTATCATTATATCTCTTCAATGTTTCCTTATTTACAAACTTGAATTTCATTGATTCAAATCTCAAAAGACAAATTTTGTCAGTGTGAACAATATTCATTTCGCCCTTGACAAATATGGCCTTTCATTTTAACGCATTATTTACAATCTGTGCGGCATAAAAAATTAAATATTTAAGCACTACATAAACTAAGTCGGGGGGCTTCAAATTGGGCTCTAAAGTATAAACAAATGGCATGTGAGGGAAAAAGTGGCTACCTTCATCAGGATGAGTTACTTGACTGTCTGCCCTAATGAACAGCATAAACCAGCAAAGCCATACCAGCAAACTCGCTTCAATTGGTGTGAGTTTTATGGTTTTCATTTCCCAAGTTCAGAAATCTCTTCTACTACTACAAGTATTACAAAACATCTGAGCGCAGATTCAGATATAGTAAGCAAAATGACTACCTAAACAAAGAAAGGTGATGCAAAGATGCAATCTTTAGACCAGTGATGCAAATCCCACACACCCAAAGACTCGAGAAACAAATCAACAACGTATTGTTAAAAAATAATTGGACCCACACTCTCGGGAAACAAGGGCGCAATTGAAATCAATCAAATGGGAAAACCCGACAAAGGAAATACGAGCATAAAACTTAACCAGCAGGTTTCATGCTCACCTTTAAAGAGCTGCTGGCAATATGAGTACCAAAAAGGGAGGAAGGATTGGTAAATGTGTATTTCCAGAGTATATGAGAACAGGTAAATTTCCAGCAAGGGCGCTGACTGGGTCGCCATCGAAGACTGGGCTGCTGTGATTTCTTGTTAATCACAGTTTGGTCTGGGAAGGTTGACTTTCTAGACGGAGTGTGGCAGCATATACATGTGGAGCTTTTTATGATTGGATGAAGAATGGCTCAACCATATTTTCTGGGTTAGGAGTGGGCTGGGTCGCAGAGCACCAATCGGAAACCCTGTGAAAGGAATATGGCATATCTTGCCCATTCACACTTCGCCATTGACATAGTCAGTCTCACACGGTCAAATTCTTCTATCGTTGGGCTCGTTAAGTGAATTTTTCGTCAAAGTACTTTTCAATCTTCCATTTCATCTAAATTAGGAGTGCCAAAAAAGAGTAAAAAATTGAGGTCCAGAGGAATTGAACCAACCACCTAACATACTCTCTACAAACTCAAATCACGTATTACTAGTTTTTTGAAAAAACGGGTAATACATGAGTTAAACTTGTATATTTTTGAACTTAACATGTGTATACTTAAAATATTCTTAAGGAAGAAGGAACGCTCACGAGTTCTATTCCTCCTAACCCTGATTTTTTAACATTATTTAGCACACCTAAGTTAGATGATATAGAAGAGTCATTGAATGTCATGAAATATGTGACGTGACCATTGTACATGGTGGATGACAAGGAAAAAACACCCTTATTTGAGAAATAAGTTTAAAACTTATTATTGAAAAATAAATTTTAAATTACCTCTATTTGGGAAATAAGATTGAAAACTACTCATATTTATTAAAAAAACTCCTCAGTTAGTATTAAAAAGTCATAGATTGAGGATAAGGAAAGTTAAGAAACCTTTTACTCTTTCCCAATAGAAGAATCTCATCAAGACTTTCTAAATACACCCTTAATTATTTTACATTAAATCAAATAAAAAGTAGAAAAAACAAAGATAGTTATGACTTTTTCTTTGAAATGATTGCCTTTTATAGAAAGGAGAGTTTTTTGGAACATCCACAAAAGGAAACTCAACATTTCTTTTAGTAGAAGTATCGTTATCTTTATATGTATCTTTTCTTTATCTTTATATATATAAAGATAACATGGTGGAGAATCAAATAGATAAATATTTTCCCTCCTAAATAAGTGAAAAATTGTTAGCAAGTTATTTAATGGACATTTATTAATTAAATAATGAATATAACTTTTATGATGATACTAAATTACTAACATGATAGTACTGTAGTAGTAACTTATGAAGTATACTAAAATATTTTCAGTTGGACTAACTTCAATTTCAGATTAGCCCGAACCAGACCTCACTACAAGAATCTTATCATAATGTGACAATTTTTTTTATAATGTAAAATTCATTTTTTCTCACAAAAACATTTATATGACGAATTATGAGCGTCACACGGATAGTTATTGTAGTTTCGTGGTATTGGGTATATGTGACAAATTTTTGATTCGTCACCAAATAAATAGTATTTAATGATGTTTTAAACTTTATCACCATAATTAATCACTTTTCGTGACGCTACTTATAGGCACAATACAAGGCATTGGCTATACGTCCAAAAATGCTAGCTAATGAGAAGATGACAAATGTCCTATAAAAAGCCTTGGGGAATATGCTTAGTGTAGTCAGGTGGCGGATCATGCTGATATAGGATGAAAATAGCAATGGTGTCAGTCCTTGGGAACCAGACTATGATGTCAACAGTGATGTGAGCCATTGGAAACCGGATTGTGATGTCAGTAGTAGCGGTTGTGATCTAAGCCCTGAATGCACATGTGTGTAATGCCCGTGAAACGGGTAAGTGTGGGACTGTAATTGAGTCGAGGCGGATCAAGTCTGCGCAACCTCGCCATGTTGCTTCACTGCAGAATCCTAGAATTATAATGATTGGGCTCGGCCTAGCTCGTTGATGTAGCTCAACCTCAAATCAGACTCACCAACAAAGAGTTGACTATAAACTATGACACTGGCATCAGCCCGCTATATAGATGACGTAGGCTCTAGTTCTTGATCGTATATTTCTGGGGGCCTTAGAGTATATGACAGTAACGTACTCCAACATGAGGAATCAATGATAATCAATCTATGCGGGAAGACGAAGATGATAAATGATTGAACAGGCCAATCTGATGCAATAATAAAATAATGAAAACAAGAACTGAAGAATTTCAGTTAAGAAAAAGAAACTTATAAAGCTTGAGTTTTCAGAGAGAGTGAATCGAGATGTTTGAAGAGAATAAGAGGACTTAATACACCAACTATCCAAGACACAATGTTAATATTCCAAGGATAAAATATTACAAAGAAGCCAACTAAGTAATGAGAAATTACCAAAGGCCCAAACAATTAGTAAGTGTTTTTTTTTGTTATTAAACATTTTGGTTGATTATTGTTAAAGCGTTCTCATCAAATCATATATGCTTTCCTTCGAACCGCATCTGCTTCATCTCGAACCTTTTGTGCTTCATCCCGAACCCTTTGTGCTTCATCCCGAACCCTTTGTGCTTCCTCACAAACCTTTTGTGCTTCACGCATATCTGCAATTGAATCATAATTAATAGTACTTCGGAAAGCATAAGCTTCACTCCGAACTCTATCAGCTTGACCCCGAACTCTGTCAGCTTCACCACGAACTCTATCAGCTTCATCCCTAACTCCACCACCCTTTTGGCGATAAGCTTGTCGATCATGATGAGAACGACTTTTATGTCCAATTGATCTTGCTTCTTCCCAAAAAATGTTGATTTCTTCTCGAACAATATCGATTTGAAGTCGAACATTATCTATTTGTTCTCGAACTCCAATGAACATATGTCGAACATTGTCTAATTCCTTTCGAAGTCTATTAGCTTCTTGAAGGACATTTGGCTGAACAATGTCATCTCTCTGCCAAATCCAACATTATAATTTTTCAAATAATTCATCCTATTATTAAAGGAAAAATCATTTGTGCATGTTTTATACACGTCTTAGACATTTTGTCATTATGACAAGTAATTTGTCTAAAAAATTACAAGGTGAGAGGTATTATGTTTTACTAATAATATACAAGGCGTGTATAAAAATGACATGTATTATACTTCGTATATGCTATACAAGGCGTCTCATTAAAAATGTTTTACTTGAATTGATAATTTATGGTCTAATTTGATCATGTTGTTATGTTTAATTCTAATTTAATCTATTTTAGTTTTGTCTTGTGTAGTTCAATTTTTTAAATATTTAGTATATGTGTCTTTAATATTACTATTAGGGAGAGGGAAACCAATATAATCATAATGAGCTTCCTTGATAAGATGAGTTCTCATACGGACTTCCCAAATTTATACAAATGTATATTTAGAGCCCATTTGTTAACAACTGCATTTGTTAACTTTTTATCAAATATATAACTTTTAATTTCACACGTTGAATTATGAAATGTTTTGACTGAATTGTGCAATAGTCAAAATATATAATGTGCGATTACTTATTTGACTGAATTGACTAAAATTGGACGAATAAAACTATTTTAGCTACATTTTCATAAAATATTTTCTTTATTTTATTAATAAAATATATTTCAAATATATATATTTTTGACAACCCAACAGATGCAACAAATTTAGTTGCATACCAATAATTTCATCGATTTCAACATTGTTTTCCAATTTAATTCGCCAAACCTCAGTATTACCAAATGGAACGTAAATGTGTGTGTGTAAATGTTGAGTTTTTTATGCACTATTTATAGGGGGCAGAGGTAGAGGGGATAGCCGGGGTCCGGCCCACCCCTAAATTTGAAAAATGTTTATATATTTAGCGTAAAATTTTATTTAAAAAAACTTTGTACCAATCCACCTCAAACTTTACTCTTGGCTATGCCTTGCACTGAAAGAATATTTAATTGAGTTACTAATACCTTTTTCGCCGTATCTAGTTCCATCCGAATTTTCCCACGAACTCTGTCCCAACAAAGAGAAGTTTGATGAGAAATACTAATCAAACAAAATAGAAGTTCTAAGTTACGGAGTATATACAAGCGTTTATAATTAGATGTAAATTAAATCTGAAAATCTCTTATTTCTTTTACATACCAGATGCTCACATTTTAGCCCTCATTACTCAGTTGTGTATATTTAGTCATTCATTTGTGAGTACTAGAGAATATGTTTCAAGTGTTCAACACAATACACAAGGACTGTTTTGTTGGAATTCACTTGATTCGGCTAAAAATCTCACACGATTGATGTGTATTGTTGAAGAGTGAAGACTCAAATAAACAATTAAATTCATATTAAGAATGCTATCACTTTGATTGAAATTTTCTAATTTGGTAAAATCTAATATTATACTAGGTGAATCGTGACTATAGAAATACTATCGTATTTAATTTGCATGCATATATGTGACTAGTGACTATATATAGTAGTAATGCAATCATAGTAATTTATGTTCAGCTTTTAAATTTAGTTACCATGATACTACATGGTAGCAACTATTAATCATATACTATCGTATATATGAGAATATTTCCCGAAATAGGACTAATAAAAAGGTTTGAAAATTCCAAAATAGGACTGTCATGTCTGTATTCCCTAAATAAGATTAATTACTGTCATGTTTTGGCAGTACCAGACTTCAAACATGGCAGTATTTTCCAAACATGGCAGTAATTACTCCGATTTTGGGAATAAAAAACATGACAGTCCTATTTTGAAATTTTCAAACTGTTTTAGTCCTATTTCGGAACTTTCCCTATATATTTGTGTAAATGTGGTTTATTTAAGTAATATTTTTGAAACCCCCGTCTAATATGACATTTCAGCCGTTTGAAAACATCACAAGTGTTTCAGTCGTCGAGCATCCACCACGGCAGCACAATTATGGCAACTTTGTTTGCTGGTTTCAAATACCATAAATAAAAGAACTCTTCGATAGCATTTTGGAGTTTATTTATTTTGCTGGTTAAAATTACTAGTAAAATGCATACCCTCAGGGCCTCAAGATCCTCATTCGGTCATTCCTCAAAGCTATTGTAACATGATATGGGATGTGGCACAAATTTGGGGAATTTGATGTGGTTATAAAAACCAATGTTAAGGTTGATTTATAATGGGATTGAATACGTAATGAAATCAAAGCTAAAAAAATAGTCTGAATTTCCAAATTTTTCAAAAGTTAAACGTTTAGATTCAAATTACCTCTGGTAAAATATGTTGGGTGTGTTTCGAAAAACTAAGAAAATTAACTAATAAAATTAATTAATTAAATAAAATGACTTAAAGGAAAACCAAGAAATGAGATGAAGCAGAATAAG